ATTCTTCTAAGTGGTATAGCACTGGTCTGTGCATTGCTGTATAGAGGTAACTCATGGTTGCTGTGACGCTAGACAATGTAACACTGATGTGTCAAATGTGATCATGGTTACGTATGGTGGACAGTGTTTGGTGGAGCTCCCTGATTCATATAAGCTTGGAAGCAGGAGTGGCATCCACTTCTGAAATAGCTTGCCTCTGGAAACCCTATGAACTTGGAGAAACTTAGACAAGTGTACAGGTCTTTTGTTCACAGAGTTGTTATGAGTTGTCTACGATTCAATGGCACTTAACAACAATACAAAATGTACCAGACCCAAGCCACAGTATTTTTAATTGCTTAATGTGCATACAATACATAAGCTGGAAAATGTATAAGGAATAGCAAAGAAGAATTGGTGCTTTTGAATTTTAGTGTTGTCCAAGGATGTTGACTGTTCCATGGACTGCAAAAGAGTATGCAATCTGTCTTGGAAGAAAGGGCCTCACTGTTCTCCTTAAAAGCAAATGTGATGAGACATTGTCTCATCTATTTTGGGCTTATTATCAGGAGGGGCCAATCTCTGGGAAAAGACTTGCTTATCAAAGAACGAGAGGAAGGCCCTCAGTGAGGTGGTCTCACACAGTGACTTGATCAGAGGGGTTAATAACAGCAGATACTGTAAGGCAGGTGCTGAATCAGGCAAGGTGTCATACTGTCTTACACAGGGTTTGTTCTTTTGTCCCTCTGACTTGGAGCCAACTTAGCAAGTTGGCTGACATCTAGCAAGAACGCTGGTGTCTCAGAATCTACAAGAAAAATATCAATGGAGAAGTACATTTAAAAGGAATACTATCTCATTTTCTAAGCACAAAAATACACCAGATAATGTTTTTCCTATCTGATTGAGAGTAAGATGAGATGGAGAAATATGGAGCTCTGGTGACGCAGAGGGATGGAAGCTGGGCAGCTTCTCCCATGTGATTTACCAATCTCTAAAAAACTCGTACAAGGCTCATCGTTGCTGATGTCAGATGGATCCTGGTTGGAAGTAAAGGTTACCTGAAGAAAGTCTATTTGTGCTTTATTAAGATTATGCAAAAGCATCTAACTATGGATCATGCTTAACAAGTTATGGCTAAAAGTGAGAAGAATGGGAATCTCAGAGCACTTAATTGTGCTCATGTGAAACCTATACTTAGATCAAGAGGCTGTTGTGTGAACAGAGCAAGGGTTTAAAATTATGAAGGAAGTGTGTCAGGATTACATTCTCTCTCCGTATCAATTCAATCTGTATGCTAAGCAAATTACTTGAGAATCTGGACTCTATAAAGAAGAATGTGGCATCAAGATCAGAGGAAGACTCATCAATAATATGTGATATGCAGATGACACAACCTAACTTGCTCAAATTGAGGAAAACTTAAAGCACCTGCTGCAGAGGATCAAAGAATACAGCCTTCAAATATGGATTGCTCATCAATGTCAATAAAACAAAGATTCTTACCTCTGGACTGATAGGCGACATCATGATAGGGGGGGCGAAGAATGAAATTATCAACAACTTCATCTTACTTGGATCTACCGTCAACACCCTTTGTACCAGAAGTCAGGAAATAGGGAAACATGTTAAATTGGGAAAGTCTTCAGTTATGGACCTCTCCAAATTACTGAGGAGTAATGATATCCGTTTGAGGACTAAGGTGTGTCTGATCCAGACCATTGTCTTTTCAATCACTTGCTATACATCTGAGAGCTGGGCAATGAATATGGAGGATAGAAGAATATGCTTTTGAGCTGTGGTGTTGGAAAAGAGTACTGAACATCCATCCCATGATGGTCAAAAGAATAAACAAATATAGTCTTGCAGAGTCCACCTGAGTGCTCTTTGGAGACAAAGATGATAAAGCTTCAGAACCTCACGTACTTAATGCTTGTTGCTAGGAAGGGTGATTCCGTGAAGGACATGATGATCAGAAAGACAGAGGAGCAATGAGAGGAAGACCCTTAACCAGGCAGATTGACACACTTACTACTGCAATGGGCTCTAGTGTGTCAGGAAGTGTGAGGTTGGCATAGGATAAGACAGGGTTCAGATCTATTGTTATAGGGTCACTATGAGTTGTACTCTACTCAGTGGAACCTAACAACAACAACAACAACCCACTGGACGGTAAGTTGTGTTGATAGAAGACTGACCTTTCTGGAGCTGTAGCTAACAATGTATTTCACTCTGTGAACTATATCTCAGCAGCCTACTTTTAGAAGTCATTCTTGTAAGAAACTGGTTCAAGCATAGTAAGAAAGTGGGGAAAGTTATCTCCAGTAGAGCTCTATTTTACACTGGAGTATTATTTTAGACTTACAGATTTTAACGTCATGGGGTCTCTTTTTAGATTAGGAGTCCCTGGGTTGTTCTTATGGTTAAGAATTCAGTGACTAACCAAGAAATGGGATATTTGAATCCACCCAGAGGCATCTTAGGGAGTCTGGGGGATCTATTTCAGAAAGGTCACAGCCATTGAAAACCTTATGGAGCAACAGCTCTCTTCTGAAACTCATGGCATGTGGGCTCAAGATGAATCAGACTTGACTTGATAACACCTGTTTTGGTTTGGTTTCCATTTGCAGATTCTGAGCCTTATAAAATTTTTGTTTGAGAAAGAATAATTAATTTCTCAAATCTTGTTGAAAAAGAAAAGTATTTAATTTCATTTTAATGTTGAGATTTTTCTTTTTTGTTGCAGAAAATTGGAAGAGGTTTTGAATCTCAGGAATGTTCATACATCTTTAAAGGAAGCGATTCTATTAGATTATTATGTGTCTGGATTTTTGTGGGCCAAAGAAAAGGACTTCTCTGTTACTCAGTATTCACAATTTATGACTTTGTTAGATATGTTACTTCATAATCTTAACAGTAAGTACATTCCTTTTTTAAAAAAAATCACATGTAATTCACTATCTAAATTATGTTCTTAAACACAAATGTATAATTTTATTATAATCTCATCAATGAAAATGTTTCTAAGAAAAATAAAGGTATGGTTTAAACACACACACACACACACGTATAATAAAAATACCTAACAAAATTAAAATCCTCTTAAATAGCTAATATGCCAAGAAATGTTCATTTCACTTAAGAGCTTATTGTTGTTGTGTACTGTCAATCTGGGTCCAGCCCATAGCTGACCCTCTGGAGGGTTTTCAGAGGCAGCAAATCTCACTGGAGGAGATTGATCATCCTGCACAGCAACTGGTGGTTTTGAACTTCACATTTTTGGGATTGCAGCACAGCTTCTTGCCACTAGGGCATCAGAGTTCCCTCAATACTGATTCCAGCCTTAGAAAGCTTATGGGGCAGTTTCACTAGGTCCTGTGGGATTCCTGTGAGTCTGGGTCGACTTAAATGTGTATTGGTATTCATCTGGGCTCAAGCTTTGGGTTGGTTCCAAGATGATGGGAAAAAAACACATACATACACACATACGCATACCCAGGTTAAATTTGTATTTCTTAGCTCTACCATGTGTTTCTTAGCTCTACCAGCTGCTAGGCTTAGAAGCACTGTTATCCCAGTAGCAACGAACATACCTGTTATCCACATATTCTTGACTATTTCATTCTCCAGTAAAGGAACAAGTCATTTATGTGATAATGTGATTAATGTGAGACTTGAAAATATACAAGAGAGTCAGTTCAGATTTTATGCTTATGATTGAGTGGCTGATCCAGATTCATAGCTTTGTACTGTGCTACATGTAATAGAAAGTAACCAACCATACAGTACTTTTAGTTGCTTCTATGGTACAGAATTGGGTTTCCGCCAGTTAATGATAATTATTCTTTTTAGGAGTAATACTTTTACAAGCTTAGCTTATGCTAGCCATTGTGTCAATTGTTTTATAAATATTATCCTACTCAAATCACACACAGTTTTAGGAAATAGTTCTTATCTCAACATTTCTAAAGGAGAAAAAGTAATTAGACCTAGAGAAGTTTAAATAACATCTTAAAGTCACGTGGTGACAGCCCCAGGAAGGCTAAGCCTATCTTCCTGCCACACCAAAAATGCTTGTGTGGGAACAGAATTCTAGAAAGCAAATGTAATTTCAACATATATACTTTCTCAGTTTATTAAAGAAGCACATGCCTTTCCTATTTGATCAACTGAAATATTGAAAATTAGTTTTGTTCTCCTTTTACAAATAAGGAAAAATGAGACTCAGGTTACCTAGAGAGTAAATGACAGTTATAAGATACCAGTCTAAATCTTCCAACTAATATTAAAACTAGTGTATTTTTGCATTACCCCTAAGTCTTTTACAATAAATCTTATTTCTAGCAGCCCTTGCTATCTAAGTGATTCAATCTTTCACATTTTAATCAAATTACAAAATGTAATTTTCAGAAGAGCAAATATTTCACATAAATGAAATAATAACTTGCCTCATTTTTAAAGCCATAATACATAGAAAACTATTTTAAAGTTGGTTGTATTCCAGGATGTGGAAATAGATATGTAAATTTATTTTGTGTCTAGTAAGTATAATTTCATATATAATTATAATTATCTAAAAATTAGTTTTCACTGCTACTATAATTAATACCATTTTATTAATGAAGCAGTTCAGATTTTTAATCCATTCATTTATGAATTGTTTTCACTCAACAAGATTTTTTTTATTTTCTGACATTATTTCAAAAACAAGTTTAACTTGGAAACAATAAATGTGGTATCATAATAGGCAACACTGAGAATAATGTAGAACAAAATAGTCGTTCAGGATTAATTCAGTGCATTTTACATACATAAAGACTGTCTGGAGAAGGTTGAGGGAAATGGACCAATTGTAAACCATTAAACCAAATTTTAGTCTTTACACAGTTCTATGCCTCTTTCTAATTCCTACAAGTAGAACCCTCTGGGGAAATTCCTCTCTTTTGTCTTATCAACATCTATGCATTGGAACCACCTATGACTTATAAGTTAATGTTTATCATACCATTCCTGAAATCTAAATTATTTTATCATTGCATTAGTAATTTGCATGTTTGAAGTATACTGCGTACATCCCACAGAGAGTATCAGACTCAGAGGTATTTGGGTCTATGCATCAGCCAATGTTTTCATGACTTTTCTACATTCCCCAAAAGAAATATTTCCAGTTAGCAAGCAATAGAAATTGTCCTGGTGGTTTCAAAGGACAAGCAGGTTTGTTTGAGATTGAGAGAGTAGAATTCACATTGGAGATAGTGAAGTCCCTTAGCAGTGGGGAGTCTTTGGGGGCACAGCCCATACTGGTGACGTTGTAAAAAAGGAGAGCCCAAAGTGACAATACATTTATATGAAATGTTTCAGGAGAAATTATTTTTATAAAAAAAATAACCCTGTAGCAAGTTGTAACAAGAAAAACAGCTTTTGTCAGCCCTGCTTACATATATTGATATACCTATAAAGCTAACTCTATTCTGATTTACTTTTGAGCCTTCTAGCGTTTCAATCAAAGCTGTCCTTACTACTCAATTACAATGATGCTTCTAATCACTCATTTTTGTCTGCAGGCTTCAAGCACGTGCTGGCTTTCTGTTTATTTGGTGCCAGTGTTTTTGTAGTCATTGATTTTGTAAAATTTCCTAGCATTTTAGCTAGTTTGTGAAACTCTTTAATGCTTTTGAAAAATGCAGCAGTAATTAAAAGGAAAGGAGAAGAAAGCATCCACTCCAGTATTGATATGATATGTGACTAATAATGTGATAATTCAATGTTGTTGTGTTGTTGTTATGTGCCATCGAGTCGCTTGCGACTCATAGCGACCCTATGTACAACAGCCCTAAACTCTGCTCTGTCCTGTGCCAATCGCACTGTCTCTGACACACCCATCCTGATTATCCCAGTCACTGAATCAATCCACCTCATAGAGGGCCTTCCCCTCCTGCGCTGTCCCTCCACCCTCCCAAGCATGATGTCCCTCTCCAAGGACCGGTCTCTCCTCACAACATGTCCAAAGTATGTTAGATGGAGCCTCAGAATCCTTGCCTCCAAGGAGCCACCCGGTTTAACCCTTTCCAGGACAAATCTGTTTGTTTTCCTAGCAAGCAGTCCATGGTATTCTCAATACTCTTCTCCAGCACCACAATGTAGAAAGATTTTTATAAAACAATCTGTTGTAAAAATTAATATAATCTAACAAAGATCATAATTAAGCATTATATTATATCCCATATTATTAACTTGTAATTAAAATTTACGATAAACATTACCAAGGATTCTAGGGAGCATTGTTGGCCTACGGGATAAGGAGTTGTGGCGCCACCCCAAAGGTGAGCGGTTGTATGTCACCAGCCGTCCCACAGCTGAAAAACGGGTAATCAACTCCTGTGCAACCTACCCTGAAAATCTGCTGGCAGGTCTGCTATGCGTCAGTCCTGACTCAGTGGCAATGAGTTAGCGAAAGATTCTGTGTAGTCTGGTACGGATGAAAGTACATAGGGAAAGAGTGACGGTGTAAGGGTGGCACCAACCCTAGTGATGCCGCTGATCAAATATTAACTTAAATATCACATTCCAGTTCTCCATGCAGCTCGTCCAAGCTTCCAGCTGACCTTTCGTCCTGGTGGTGTTTTCCCTTCTGAAAACTACTGCAGTCTCACTTTCCCTGAAGCCTTTATAACGTTCTACCTCTGCTCTCAACCTTTCTCATCGTAAGGTCCCTCCCTAAATAGGCAGAATAAATTTGCCGTCTTTTAAAAGAAAGTAGCTTACTTTTTTTTAAGTAGTTTTTAGGAAGTTGTTTATTTTGGTACTTTTTGTTGTTTCAGCTATAAAAGAATGGACTAGAATCAATAAGCAGTTTCATTTTAATAATGATGGAGTTGTTAATATCTTACATTTTCTTCTGGCTCTCTCTAGCTCTAATGGGCTTACATTTCAGAACTAATTTACATGAGTTATAAGTGTATAACTGTGGAAATGGGGGGTGGGGTGGGAAGCATAATTCTATGTTTTACCATAAAACCCTTTATTTTTGGCTTCTTTTGAGAATGTTCAGGTCCAAAATATCACATGGTAACACATCAGCTAAAATAAGTGTTGGTTGAGCTCCTCCACTCACATTCAGAGCTGAACTCTGAGTTCAGCTCCCTTGTCTATCATGGTCGAGCCTCTTCTAAGTCTTTCTTACCAGCTGATAACAAATATCTTTTTTTGTCATATTCAAATATATTATTATTATAAAAATCAGAAAAATTTCCTCTCTACTGAAATAATATTTAGATGTATTTTTCCTCTTAAAATGGAATAAAAAACCTCTTCAGACATTTGTGTATTTTACAATTACTTTGTAACTTGAATTGCCAATTCATCTGTTACTCTTTTACACAAAAACGTTTTCATTATTTCATGAAGAAATTACAAGTTTTACCATTTGTCCTTGGGAAAACTACAGCAATGTTTTTTAAATACATTTAGATTTCTTGGATTCTTTTTTTTTTTTTTCTTTTCTGAAAGCATCTCTCAAAATAATACCTAAGATTGTCCTGAATTTTATTTTTTTAAATTTTTTTTAGCACTGCATATGTCTTTAAAAGACAGCATAAAATGGCTGGGAGAAGTTATGGCGGAAATAGGACCATCTCATCTAGGAAAAAATGAGGAATGGAATACTTTTGATATAACACAAGCCAATGCTATCATTGATTACTTGAAAATCAGGTATGGATTTTTCTGAGCAGCATTTGCTCCATTCAAAATGTGAAATACAGAGAGGAAGTAGGTTACATGTGGGGAGGGATTACAATCAGTGTCACAAACAAAATGTATTTGGTTTGTTGGATGGAAACATAAATTTTTTTGTATAACCTAAGCCAAATCACAATAAAGAATTTTAAAAACCCCTTTAATGTCAACAAATTTAGAACTTATACAATAATTACTGCAACCAGTGTTGTTGTTGACTGCTGTCGAGTTGAGCATGACTCATAGCAATCCTATGAACAGAGGCCTGAAGCCTTTCTATAATTATCATCATTTATCAAAGTTCATAGAGTTTCCAGAGGCATGCTGTTTAGGAAGTAGATGTCACTCATGCTTCCAATAATAAAATAATATTCCATATTCCATCTAATAGTCAGGGCCTTGACCGTTGGGCTATTATAGCATTCTTGAAACAACACAAGAAAAATTTTTTTTTCTCAATAGATTCTATCATTCACTTTGAACAGGCTATATTTTTGTTGGAACTCTGATTACTTAGTGGTAAGAAGTTGTCCTGCCTGCCCCAAAGCACTTAGTTTGAATCCACCAGAGCTTCACGAGAGATTTTCAGTTACTTGCTATGCATCTGAGAGCTGGACAATGAAAGAATAAGGATGACAGAAGAATTGATACCTTTGGACTGTGGTGTTGGAGAAGAGTACTAATTATCCTGTGGACTGCCAAAAGAACAAAGAGATATGTGTTTCTCAGAAGACACAGCCAGATTGCGTCTTGGAAGCAAAGATGATGACACATCATCTCATGCACTTTGGGCAGGTTGCTAGGAGAGGCCATTCCTTGGAAAAGGACATCATGCTTGGAAAAGTGAAGAGTTGACTAACGAGAGGAAGACCCTCCACCAAGTTGATTGATATAGTGATTGCATCAATGTAATTGAGTGTGTAAGAGATTGTGAGGGTGGCACAGGGTTCAGATTTGTTATGAGTTGTACTCTACTCAATGGCAGCTAACAACAGCAGCACTCAATTATCATCGACTATATTTTAAGGCCAGGGATTTAGCAGACCTTCCCAATGAAATTTTTCATTTTGAAGAGCAATAGTCATTTCCATGTAAGTTTATTTTAAATTATTGTGCTAAGAACTAAAGACATGTATATCCTTTTTTACAAATTTATTATGTATCTTGAAATATTTTGTTGAATTGACCAGTCAAATTTAGTATATTCATGGTGCATGGGGGGAAATTGTGTTGTTTGTTGGGTTTTTTTTTTTGTTGCAGTGATTCTATATTTTTAAACATAGAAACCTGTCACAAGGTCAGATTTAAATCATGCATCTCACCATGAGGACAATTTTAGAGCTTGCAATATTTACAAAAAATATTTTAAAAAATTTAAAAAATATTTAAAGTAGAGTAGGTCAAACTTTCCTCTTAATAACTAAAAGCTCCTGTGCAATAATATCTTTATTCCTCTTATGCTAAATACTCTGTTTTCTCCTTTTAAAATCCCAATAGAAAGGGTGTTAAATGATATCATAGGCAAGTATGCTCATGATACACTTTGCAATGGTCCTTGCTGTGATCTGGAATCTTTTTAAACATTAATATACTTAATATGATAAAGATTATACACTTGTTTTTTACATGAATTAATAATGGTATATGATGTAATGTGTTTTTTATAATGGCATTTGATATAATTTCTTAATATACCTCCTAATGGCTCTCTCTCACTAAAAGCCACATTATTCTTCATATCACTTAGAGTAAGAAGACAAGGTACTTAGAGTGTGGGAATCGAGAGTTGAAGTAGAACCTGTTGGCCTTTCTGCCTGTCATGGTTTGAGATCACTGGGCAAGAGGAATTCTGCTCCTCACACTGTCTCATGTCCTTCTGCCCCTTCTGTGTGTGTGTGTAAACTTGCCATATTCCTTTCACAGAACACATTTGTTTACAGCTCTAAGCCCTGGAGGTTTATAATGTGCACAGGGACTGATAGTTAACCTCAGTACAAACCATGCAGGCACAGTGGTGCCACCTTCGAGACGGTGAAGGATGGCGCCTCTTTTCCCTTTCATCTCATCTCTCCATGAAAATATTCTTGATGGCTTCCTTCAGAAAATGATTACGTTAGGAAAAAATACCAGTGTTAGTCATCTTTAAATACCCACAGGAGTAAGTCTATATACCAAAAATCACCAATCTTCCTTCTCAAAAAATAGTAATATTTGAGAGATTAGGCAGATAATGTAAAGTAGAAGTATTTTTGATGCTTTTAGATCCTCATAATATGCTTTCAAGGAAATCATCTACTTTAAAACTCCTTATTACAGAAAATGAAAATGTGAGTTAGTAGGACATCTGGAGCAGATATTTAAAAAATGCACTCTCCTATAATACCTGTATAGTATTCTTCATAAATCTGTAACTCCAGTAACACTAAAAAATCACATCATGCTTTTATTTCAAGGACTCCAAAGGCGTTTTTAAATATAACACTAGTACCAAAAGAATAAACTTATTTAAATTTAACCTGACATTAAGTTCACCCCTAATCAGTTTAGGAAGAGCCATTTTTAAAACATGTTCCACACTACACACAAGTTAACTGACAATAAAATTTACATTTCATGTGACACCTTTAGTAGTCAGCAAAATGAAATAGAAAATTTAATGATTACTATCCTAGGCATTAGTGAGATGAAATATACTGGTATTGATCATTATGAATCAGATGAAAATATAGTCTCTTAAGTCAATAATGACAAATTGAAGAGGAATAGTATCCTGTTCACTATTAAGAAAAAAATTTTAAGGTCAATCTGAAATATTAAGCTAATTATATATTATAAGGAAGACTACTTAATACTGTTGTTGTTGTTGTATATGCCGTCGAGTTGCTTGCGACTCATAGAGACCCTATGTACAACAGCCCTAAAATCTGCTCTATCCTGTGCCAATCTCACTGTCTCTAACACACCCATCCTGATTACCTCAGTCACTGAATCAATCCACCTCATAGAGGGTCTTCCCCTCCTGCGCTGTCCCTCCACCCTCCCAAGCATGATGTCCCTCTCCAAGGACCTGTACCTCCTTACAACATGTCCAAAGTATGTCAGATGAAGCCCTGGAATCCTTGTCTCCAAGGAGTAGCCTGGTTTAACCCTCTCTAGGATGAATCTGTTTGTTTTCTTGGCAGTCCAGGGTACATTCAATACTCTTCTCCAGCGCCACAGCTCAAAGGCATCAATTCTCCTTCTATCCTCCCTAGTCATTGTCCAACTCTCTGATGCATAGCAAGTGATTGCAAAGACCATGGCCTGTGTCAGATGCATCTTAGTCTCCAAAGAGACACCGTTGCTCTTGAGTACTTTAGAGAGGTCCCTCACAGCAGACTTTCCCACCGCAATATGTTTTTTTTATTCTTTGGCTGCTGGTGCCAAGAGTGTTGACCGTGGAGCCGAGCAAACTGAAGCTGTGAACAATCTCAAACTCTTTGCCATCCATTCTGATGCTACCAATTGGTGCAGTGGTGAGAATCTTTGTCTTCTTGACATTGAGCACAGTAACTTCTAATTCTAAAGATAAAGAAACTTAAGATTTCCACAAATTTCTGCATGCTGAAATTTGTCAAAAATGCAATCAAGATGTACTAGTTATTGGAATACAGAAATTGGAAAGGAAGATCCATGAAGTGGAAAATATGATATTGGTGACAGAAATGACAACCAGAAATTACATGTTAGATTTTTGCAAGGTCAAAAGCTATTTATTATTAATATGTTTTTTTCACCAACAAAAATTTGACTTTACACGTGGACCTTTCCAGATTGTACACATATGAATCAAAGCAACTATATTGCTGGAAAGAAGCAAAGGAGAAGCTCAATACCATTAGAATAAGGTCAGGGTTAATTGGAGAATGGACCCTAAATTGCTAAAATGTGAGTTTAGATTTGAAACTGAAAAAAAATTAAAACAAATGTGACCTTGACTATTTCCTATCTGTGTATAGAGACCATGCCAAAAGTAGATGTGGTGCACTGAACATTAATGATGAAAGACTAGGCAAGCTGTGGGGTGACATCAAGACATCATGAAGAAAGAAACAGGTCATGAAAAGGCATTTAAAATGAAAAGAACAAACTAAATAAAGTCAAAGGCACTCTGCAACTTGGTCTTGAACATGGGGTTGATAAAGGGAACAGAAGAAATGATGCAATAAAAGAGCTTAACAGAATATTTCAAAGAGTAGCTCAGGACAACAAAGTCAAGGATTAAAATTAAATATGCAAATATCTAGAGGCATAGTCATTCAAGCTGAAAGCACTGGAAAATGAAATTAAACCTCACAAGTAAATAATTGAGCGATTACATGAGTAAAACATTGAAGGCTCCAGAAAACATTAAAAGAAAGTGAAAGAAATACACTGAGTCACTGTAATAAAAGGAACTGGTTCAAGTATTCCAGGAGACAATATATGATCAAGAAACTCATGGTATTTAAGGAAGAAGTTCTACTTCACTGAAGGCACCAGTGAAAGACAAGTTTCAAGAATTAACCAATGACTTATTGAGATGTTTTAGCAAGCAAATGCAGCATCAGAATCACTCACTTGTCTATGCCAAGAAATTTGAAAGGGCAGCTCTCTGATCATCTAACTGGAAGAGATTAATATTATGCCTATCTCAAAAAGATATATAGCAGTAGAATGTAAAACATATCAAATGTCTTTAATATTGCATGAATGTAAAATGTTACTGAAGATAATTCTAAAATGGTTGCAACAGTGCATTGTTGGGGAGTTGCCAGTATATCAAGTTAGATTCAGAAGAGGACATGAAACAAGAATATCATTGCTGATGTCAGATGAATCTAGACTGAAAGCAGAGAATACTAGAAAAATGTTTACCCGTGTTTGACTATGCAAAGACTTTCGACTCTGTGAATCATAACAAATTACAAATGACATTGGGAAAAATAGGAATCCGA